TGGGATATTGGAAATTCCAAAGTGGCCAATCGATAGAGCTCGTCGAGATCTACTTGGACCACTGGTTGGACCACTTGGACCACCTTCTCAAACGAACCTTGGCAGGTTTTAGTCGAATATCGTGCTGACTTCACCTACGTTATTCAATGTGTTATAAGTTTTGTTAAATGTGAGGGTGTAAGGTTCTACAAAACAACTGATAGATACCATCAACAAGAATCTTGATTCAAATTTATATTAAGCTTTCTACTCAAAAGAGCAAAGAATTTTCATAAAACTGACTCATTGAAACTATTTTTTCAATAATTTTCAAAAGTCAACATTTCTTTTTTCAAGTTTATCCTACAGTGTGCAACTAGAAACATACTCTTTTTTTATTTCACACGACAAATTTCGAGATTCCATTATTCATCGTTGACGTTAATAGAACTTCCGACTATATCTTTTAAATAAACATTGACAAAAACAATCATTTTTTCTTTCACTCAATATCTGTATTATCATTCTGTTGTAGTCTCGTTCTATCGTTTTCAATCGCACATGTCTTCATTTTCGAAGGACGTTTACCATTATGAGCTATTGTAATGAAAGCAACTAAACATGGCTTGATGTTTACATTTATTACTCTAGGCTACACATATTCAAACGAAACAGAAGAAAGAAAGAAAGAAAAAACAAATCTTGAAGTAGTTTTATTTAATGCAGTATATTTAACCGATATGCATGAATAATTTTCATGTTCGCTTGTGTATCAATAGTTTGATACAGTTCTAAGTTCATTAGATTGTTTTATATGAGTATTATTTGTATGCAAGTTTAAAAATTCGATAATAATTATTTTTTTAAAATTGTTAAGTTAATCATAAAGAATTAAATAAACTATATCGGAAGTAACTTCTACATTATTTATTAATATAATTAAAACTTATTTTTTTTTGTCTCATCGGCTACATATTTAAAATAATGTTGCCAGAAAGATATGTCTTATTCATTAGAATCGAGATTTAAATATAAATACTTTTGTTTAAAGGATTTTTTAATAAAAGTTCGATATTTAGACAGAAACAATCAGTTATGAAATATATAATTTTATTTTTGCATCAGAGAAAATATCATACTTTGAAGCGTCCCAATTAGTCAGTTCAAATTTCTCGACCTGTTTATAAAAACTGTAAAATTATATTTCATTACTTATAGATAACAACTTAATTAAGAAAAAAATTTTTTAAAACATTATTCTATTTTATGTTTTAGAAAATGATATTTCATGAAGAAGATTATAATAAAGCAAATATTATTTTACTTATTGATAATCAATGTGGTTTACAAGCTCTATTTAGTTATATATTTATTGATACATTCAAGTAAATGAATTTTTTCAAATAAAATATTATAGATTTTTCTTTTTTTTTTTAATAATTTAGCCAAATGCAGTTTTACCATATTGTTTTAAAATCAAATAGTATTTATACTGATACTGGTATGTCAACAAGTAATATATATTTATTAAATTTATTTAAACATCCAATAACTAGTTGGCTTGGTACAACACCTTATTTTATTATAAACAATATTAGCGAAATAAAAACTATTGATCAATGCCGTTGAATTGTTTTTTTCATACAATTATTCTTGATTTATGTAGTTGAGAAAAAGATATTTATATTTGTTGGCCATTATTCTTTTGTTATTATATCGTTCAATAAATCTTAATGATAAATGATTATTTGGAATATTATTAACAAAAACTTTTATTATTGATAATCACTTATTAATATTATATGAACAATTTAATCATATTCTACAACTGTATCTATGATTATTAATAAATAAACAATTAAATTCAACATTTAAAACACAATTGCTTAATACAGATACAGATGAAGGTATATCAGAAGACCGATTTCGTATGTTATATACACTTACAGCAGATTGTTTTCCATCAAAAAGTGTAGAACTTCTTAAAATATACACAAGAATGTCATGATTATCAAGATCAAATATATGAAAATGAAATTCTATTATTAATTAGTCGTTATGTTATGAAAATTAATTTACTTGATTATTTTTATTTAATATTTTTTGAAAAAAAATCCATCGTTTTGTTTTGAACATCGTTGTAATGTATTAACAAAATTTATATTAAAAATTTTAACATCACTTACAAAAAGTGTGCTAATAGAATCTTATAATAAATATATATATCATTATTTGTTATTGATCAACTTGATATTAAACTTGGTTTAAATTCTTCAATTACCAAAAATTTTTATAAAACAGTGAAAAAGAAAAAAGAAGCAAGAAAAATTTTAAATATTAAAATTGGTTCGACGATGGATGAAAAAAATTAACTAAATATGTTATAACACAGGCTCATCTACAATTTATTGATGGAAAAATATAACAATAATAGAAAGCGATAAAGCTTTCAATTTATTATGTAAATATATTATAGATATATAGTAAAAATATTTTAAAATGTGGATAAAAGTTAAGGAAAGATGTATTCACATCCTTAAGATGATTTAATTCACGGACCTTTCAATTTATGAGCTTTTTTTATAAATATAAGATATAGCATACATATCAAAGCTCAATAGCATCTTAGTATCTATACTACACTTTCTGCCAAAATATGTTGACACCACAATTTAGGACAAAAAATAACCCAACTAAAGTTTTCACTAAGAAAAATAAATACCACATCATTTTCAAAATGTTTTGAGCAGATATAATAAATTCAGTACAATTTCAACAAGAAATAAAATCAATATTTCATTTTCAAAGCTATTGATATGATTTAAGTTTAAAAAGTTTTATTTGAGCACATAAATACATCATATTACAAACAAAATGCATATGCTGTATGAAGAATTATATAATATTATTGATTCTCATTTTATATTATTTTTTTGACTTATGTAAACCTAATTAAAAAGAATAAGATGGATGGGTGTGAGTGGTGTTCATGTCTTAATGTGATCCACACCCACACCCATCCACCCCACCCTCAAGATTTTTATCATAATAACTATATTGTTCAAAACATTAAATGCAATTGCTTCACCACAAATATATGCATTCAAAACATCAATATGTCAATGAAAACTCTTGCTGATAAATAGCGGCATCATATAAGCATTTTATCTTTTATTAGAGGTCACTACATGTCATATATTTAATATTGATTCGTTTAATCTACCATGCTTTATTTGTGCAAGTTTATCCATCTCCTTTTTTGAAAAATTATTAAATAAAATTGATTTTTAATTCATTTCTTTCGAATGAAAAGAATTTTAATTTTTTGAAAATTGAAACAAATGCTTGGAACATTCTGAGTATATATAATGAAAAATATCTTCAAATATTTTAAACAATATCGTCATTTATTTTAGATCAGAAAATAATAACAACAAAAATGTCAGACGATGATGATATGGGTGGTAATGATGATTTTGATCTTGATTATGAAAATACAGATGAAGAGCCAGATGCAGATCTTGAAAATCAATATTATAATTCTAAAGCTTTAAAAGAAGATGATCCACTTGGTGCTATTGAAAGCTTTAAAAAAGTTTTAGCATTAGAACAAAAAAGTGGTGACAAGGGTGATTGGGGTTTTAAAGCCCTTAAACAAATGATGAAAATTTATTTTAAAATGGAAAATTATGATGAAATGTTAGCATGTTATAAAGAATTGTAAGTATTGTTAGAGTTTATATTAAAACTATTTTTAAATGAATTAGATTAACATATATCAAATCTGCTGTAACACGAAATGTTAGTGAGAAATCTATAAATTCAATTCTTGATTATATTTCAACATCGAAACAAATGGATTTATTACAAAATTTCTATGAAACAACATTAGGTGCATTAAAAGAAACAAAAAATGAACGTCTTTGGTTTAAAACCAATTTAAAATTAGGTAAATTATATGAAGAACAACAAGATTATGTTAAATTACAAAAAATTCTCAAAGAATTACATAAATCATGTCAAACATCTGAAGGTAAAAATATATATAATTACTTTTTTTTTTTAATCTTCTACTACTATATTCATTATTTCAGGTATTGATGACCAACGTAAAGGCACGCAGTTACTTGAAGTATATGCTTTAGAAATTCAAATGCATACTTTACAAAAAAATACTAAAAAACTTAAACAATTATATGAATTATCTTTACATATTAAAGCAGCAATTCCTCATCCACTTATTATGGGTTTGTTTATATAATATAATTAAAAATTTTTATATATTAATCTTCTTTTTAAGGTGTAATACGAGAATGTGGTGGTAAAATGCATTTACGTGAACAAGAATATGAAAAAGCTCATACAGATTTTTTTGAAGCATTTAAAAGTTATGATGAATCAGGTTCACCACGTCGAACAACATGTTTAAAATATCTTGTTCTTGCTAATATGCTTATGCGTTCAACCATTAATCCATTTGATTCTCAAGAAGCTAAACCATATAAAACAGATCCTGAAATTCAAGCAATGACAAATCTTGTTGGTGCTTATCAAAATAATGATATAAAAGAATTTGAATCAATTTTACGTATAAATCGTCAAGCTATTATGGATGATCAATTTATTCGTGAACATATTGAAATACTTTTACGTACAATACGTACAAAAGTTCTTGTTAAATTAATAAAACCATATACAAAAATTCGAATTGAATTTATTGCTCAAGAATTAAATATTCAAATGGATGATGTTGAAAGTTTATTAATATCATGTATACTTGATCAAACAATAACAGGAAAAATTGATCAAGTTAATCATGTACTTGAACTTGATCAACAACAAAATATTCAAGGTTTACATCGTTATGCTGCTATATCAAAAGTATCAACACAATTACAAAGTGTTCAACATGCTATTATTCAAAGATTTAATTAATAAACAAAGGAAAACAAAACAAAAATTCTTTTCATTGTTATAAAAAATGCATATAAATTATATTTTTAACTGAAAACAAAATAAAAAAATAGGATTTGATGATCGAACAATATTTTTCATGTTTTAATCAGAAAAGAGAAAGTCCAGAGTTTCCATAGATTATCATATTTTTTGTTTGTTCTGTTCTTTC